AACAACTATAACTTTAGGAATGATCATAAGTCCATTCAGCACATTCGTAACTTTGAATGTTTACTGAATTATTGGTCGTAAGTCAAAAGCTACCTTTACAAATGTTCTGTTGGAAAACTAATAACCAATTAAACAGCATTGATGGAAAAGTTCGGTGCTAATTCTTATGATTGGACATATATAAATAAATACTTCTATCAACAAATCTGTAAAAGGAGATATATCTTAAATTATACATATAGAAGTTTTAAATCTGTAGGACTTTTTTTTGCTGAACAAAAGAACTTGCAGTGCTGTTTACATATTTCACATGGAATATTATAGACAAATGGCTATCTTACCTGCTTTCACAGAAGAATTCTTGATGCCTTAACCACTAAAAATCAGTGTTTCCTAGTAATATAATATTACTAGAATTTTGAATTATTTTTTTCATTTGAAAAATCAAAGTAGATGGAACATTTATCACTTTAAGAGCATAGAACCATGATGGCAAACCTATGGCATGCGTGCTACAGGTGGCACGTGTAGCCATATCAGTCAGCACACCAGCTCAGCTCTGGCGTGCATGCACACGCTGGCCAGCTGATTTTCGGGTCTTCTGGGTCTACCAGAAGTAGGGAAACAGGCTGTTTTCTGGAGGGCCTGGGGATGGGGTGGGGAAGGACCATTTTTCTTTCTTACCTGGTTTCAGATCCTCTCTATGCATCTGCGGAGGGCGAAAACAGCCTTTCCCACCCACTCAAAGGAAAGGGAGGCCTGAAAGGGCCCATTTCCCAACTCCCGGTGGGACAGGAAGTGACGTTTTTTGCTGTCCCTAGCTTCACAGACTCCTAGAGAGGCTTTGGAGGCTGGGGACAGCAAAAAACATCACTTCCTGTCCCACCGGGAGTTAGGAAATGGGCCCTTTCAGGCATCCGGAGGGCTCTGAGGGAGTGGGAAAGGCTGTTTTTGCCCTTCCCAGATGTATAGAGAGGATCTGGAGCCAGGTAAGAAAGAAAAATGGGCCTACCAGGTCATTGTGTGCCAGGAGCGGGAAGGGGGGTTGCGCGTGCATTTGCAGGGGGATGCATAAATAATGGGTGTGGGCACGCGCATGCGCGAACCTCCCCCACCCTTCCCTCTCCTGGCACATGATGGCAAAAAGGTTAGCCATCACTGGCATAGAATTTATAACTTATGAAGCAGGATGTAACATTTAGATATTTGGTGTATTTATGAAATCGGATGTTATTTGACTCTTAGGGGTTGTTCCTCATTGGGATTTTTATGCTGCTGCTCTAAAATTCAAATTGTATTTAATTTTCTGCTTCACATCTCTGATTGTGGCATTTTGCAATAAGTGTAAGAAGTTGCTTATTTCCCAGGCTGTAGCACAGGAGTAAGGTGAGGGAAAAGGCTAATCATTAGGGATCAGATGAAAAGGACAGCAAAAGAATAATGTTATTTGCAATTTTATAGTAGTTATTTAATTCATATTTCATAGAATGATTCTTAAATGCACATTGCCAGCTTTTCTATTGAAAAACTTGAAAAAAATCAAAGGAAAAGAAAACATGTTTTATTTTTTTTTTCTCCAATATTATTACTGCCCAGCACATCTACCTTTCTTTAACATTACACTATAGATCAGGGCCATCAACCTTTCGGACCTCAGGGACCACTAAATTCATAATTTTAAATCCTGTGGACCACTAATATGATCTGCTTAATGACTGGCTGGGTGGGCGTGGCTAGGTGGGCATGTGACTGGTTGGGCATGCCAACTTTATGTCACTCATGTCGAGGGGCGCCTCTCTGGGCTCTACTCGCCCTTCCCCTCCCAGCCACTTCTCCCCTGCCTGCCGGGGCTCCTTAGGGCCGCAACAGGAAGCAATTATTGGAGCTAAGCAGCCACCATGAGAAAGAGTTGACAAAAGAGCTGGCTCAGTTCAAATTGGATCTGTCCAAGAAGGAGGCTCAGCAGAAGCACCTCACTCAGGACTACGAGCATAGGCTTTGCAAGCAAAGGGAAGACCTGCGGGAGTGCAAGGCCAGGTACCGGCACCTGGAGACTCAGCGGGCTGAGATGGTCAGCCAGTTCCAGTCCCACTGGAACAAAGCTCTCCGGCTCTTTGCCACCAGTGGCACTTCCCTTCAGCCTTCGCCCAAAGCCCTGCACTAAGAGGCTGAAACAGACCCGAAGTCGGAATTTCTGCCCCCCTCTGCCCCGCACAAAAAGACCCTGAAGGGAAGACTCTCTGCAGTAACACAAGTGTTCATTGCACGTATCCGGCCCAGGGGCCATAGTTTGAGGACTCCTGATTTAGTGCAGTATAAAAAATGCAAATAATTTTTCTGCAGATGACCAAAATTTTCTTGCGGACCACCAGTGGTCCACAGACCATCTGTTGGTGACCGCTGCTATAGATTGCTAATCTTAGGTAAAACTAATCTTTCTATAACTAAAAAAGTTCATATATATATATATATATGTATGTATGTAGGTCTTTGGTTGTTCGGGTTTTCTCCCGCGTAAAATTGGAGGTGTCTTGGCAACGTTTCGACGAAGTCTCATTCGTGCTCCTAGAAGCACGAAGCCGAGAACACCAGCCTGAAGATGACGAATGAGACTTCGTCGAGTCTGGTAGATGGTGTGTCCCAGAAGAAAACACACACAAACCGCTATCTGCACGCACTCTCATACCACCACCCAGCACAGATCAACTCCGTAGTCAAGACACTCATCTCCAGAACAAAACGCTTAGCTGACGAACAACACCTAAAAACCGAACTACACACTCTCACTAATGTACTAACATCCAATGGATTCCAAAGAAATAAGATCACCAACCTAATCCAAAAAGAAACCCCCACTAAAATCCAAGACAGAGAACAAGAAAATGGCAAAGCCCTCCTCCCATACATAAAAGGCACCACAGACAGAATCAGCAAGATCCTCCACAAACACAACATCAAGACAGCATTCTGCACAAACCGAAAAATATCCACCATCCTAAGAAACCCCAAAGACAAAATTGAGTTAGAAAATCAAGGAGTATATGAAATCCCTTGCACCGCCTGCCCCACCACATACATCGGACAAACCAACAGAAGAATAAGTGCACGCATTGAAGAACACAAGAACTCAGTTAGAAAAGAGGAACCAACTTCTTCCCTGGTCCAACACCTCAAAGCCACAGGACATGATATTGACTTTAAAAAGACCAGACCTATCGCCAAAACTGAACACTTCAACAACAGAATAATCAGAGAAGCCATCGAGATAGAAAAACGTCCACACAGCATGAATAAATGAGATGATACCTCCCGCCTGCCAGCCACTTGGAAACCCGCCCTTATTGACAAATGAGTCCCTAACACAAAGATTGACACCAGACCCACACACACGAGAGCCACACAGGATGTAACCACCACACATCCATGCAGAAAGCAGACTCAAACCCACACTGATGATCAAGCACGACCACGGACCAGAAGCCAGACCAAAGCTGCATCATTAGCCACTTTAAACCCCTCCAATCCATACATGAAACAGACTGACACCCAACATAAAGAGATGGCACGGCCACGAACACGAAGCCAAACAACAGCAACACAGCTCACCAGCTCAAATCCCCCTGCTACTCAGACTAATCCGAGCACAACCAAGCTCCCACCTAAACAGAACACACACCCATCCAATCAGAGCACAGCCAAACCCCCAACCAATCAGAACACACCTCCACCCAATCAGAACACAGCCAAGCTCCCACCCAATCAGTTCACACCCCCACTGGCAGTTAAAAGGAAGAAACAGCTGCGATCACACACATTGCTCCTAGAAGCATGAAGCCGAGAACACCAGCCTGAAGATGACGAATGAGACTTCGTCGAAACGTTGCCAAGACACCTCCAATTTTACGTGGGAGAAAACCCGAATAACCAAAGACCTACATAATTCAAAATTGCCTGGAGAAGTCCCTGTAGTTTTTTTGGCAAGGTTTTTCAGAAATGGTTTGCCATTACCTCCTTCCTAAGGCTAAGAAATTGTGACTAACCCAAAGTCACCTAGCTGGCTTTGTGCCTAGCGTCTGAGTAGAACTCACAATCTCCTGGTTTCTAGCCTGATGATACTTAACTATTAAATCAAATTGATTCTCTGTGTATAACGTACTTATTTTATTTATCATAGTCTACATACAAAGAATAGCAAGCTCTTATACCTGGAGATAGTATAATGGCATGTTATTTCTCTATAATTTATCTTTGGCTTGTAATCTGTACAAAATCGTACTCTGTTACTCCTATGGCTTTTGATTCTTCATTTATTTCTTCACAAATGGTTGGAAAATATTAAAGGTAAATCTAATGCATATATTGATGTTCTTGTATTTTCAAGTTGCATAACATTTCATAACACATTCAAAGGTAATGTAATATTGAAGAAATGTTCGTTCATTTGGTTAGTGTTCATTTGAAGTATATCAGTTGGTAAGCATTCATTGAAGTATATTAGTAAATGAGGTACCTAACATGGGTCCTTTTGAATTACTGTAAATCACTTCACACTTTAGTTCCACTAGCTCATTTTTAGTTTCAATAGCTCATCTATAGAAGATCTTTCACCACTGGTCATTTTCTGTTTATATAGGTTTGGCGCTCCTGACTACCTATGTAAGACAAGAGTTGTCTGCAATAAAACTCTAGATTGTGTTAACAGCATGGAGATAACTTGCCAGTTTTACCTAATTTGAAGAATCCAATCATGTCCCAAACTATTAAACAGATGAGGTAGAACAGAACCCAGAAATATCTAAGTATTGTCAGCCATGCTTGGAAGATAGAAAATCTCTTATATAAGACTTCATTCAAAAACAAAGGGATTTTTAAATGTTGGAATTTGGATGTTACCTTATTAATGTAAATAGCTGTTATAAAGATTTGTATCTCAATTTTACTTCTTGTTGATAATTACCAAAACTCAGTTAATGGATACATTTAATTCTTTTTTTATATAGCTTCTTGGTCCTGCTGATAGAACAGAACAACCATGTTTCGGAACAGTCTCAAGATGCTTCTTACAGGTGGTAAATCAAACCGTAAGAACAGATCCAGTGGTAAGTAAAAGGAGTGTCTTGATGCTGTACAATCATCTTAATCCAAGGAATGAAACTACTTCTAAGGTAGACCTCATAGTAGCATTGCTGCTCTTGAAATAATGCTTGCTTTGCTATTTGTTCATTCATTCATTCATTCATTCATTCATTCATTCATTCATTCATTCATGTGCTGCCTCAGTCACTGCCTCAATTACTAAAATATACCTAAAATATGTAGGTGGCTTATATATTTGGCTTAAAATAATTATAAAAACATTAGGATTATCAAAACAGATAATTAAATATAACCATATGTTGGAAATAATAACTAACTTAAAAGGACTAAAATGAATAAGTCATTAAACATTTGGTGGAAGAACCAAGTTCTTCCTTACCAATGACCTGGTAAGGGTCATTGTTCTATAAGACAGACACTGCTACAGAGAAGGGATAGCTCCTAGGTCAAACAAGGTGACAGTGCTTTATAGCTGGGATCTGATGTATAACAACTTTACCAGATTTTACAGCTTGAATAGAAATTATAGAAGAAAGATGAGATAATCAGATCCTAAGTTATAAAGGATATTATAGGTGACAATCAGTACTTTGAATTGTAATCAGAATTCTTCTACTACCTGTCCAGGTCATAGAGCAGAGATGCTACATGGGCAAAATGAGGAACATAATTGCTTGTAATGCTGCATTCTGGAATGATTGTAGCTTCTGGGTGTTCTTTGAGAGTAGCCAAGTGGAATGTGACTAGAGCATATGTGGTTGTAGAAGTTCCTCTCAATCCTGGAAAGGACATAATTTTCATATAAAATGCATTTGTGCAAAAACTCTCCTAGTCCTGTCTGCTACTTGATCATTGAGTAGGAGTCAAAACTTCAGAAAAACATATATATTTTATTTAGGGAACTGATACACATCAAGAGCTGAAGATGGTAAATTCTTGGTTTGACATTTCCTTGAATTTAGAGAACTCTAGAATCTAGGGTTGAGACTCAGCCTGTACTTTCTCAGGAGGGATGATATGATACACAGCTGACAATGTTAATATCTCCAAGAACTTTATTCACTTCCTCAAAGCTCATGAATTCTTCCTACATAATAGGGCAAGATCCCTCTCCATTTAATGTAAAGGGAACTATCCAGCCAGAGTCCAATTTCAAATTAATCTGAGTAACTTTATCCATCAGATTCTTATACTATTCCTCAATGTGCCGGTTAAGTTTTCCTTCTGTCTATTAATACCATAAGTTGTTTCAGAAAGAGCTTTGGGATTGTGATATGCAAAGGCAATAAGAGCAGATAAACAATTTTATCTTGCTATTCTTATCACTACTATGAAGGTCTTAATATGGAATTGTGTTCAATCAGTCTCTTTCATTGTCTTTCCCAGCACCATTCTAGGCATGTCTCTATTCTGATGTCTCATTTCCTAGAGCTGTTCATAAAACCAAGAATTCCACCAGGATCAGTGTTAACATAACCGGCTCAGAATTGAAGGACTCTGACACTGAGGAGTTTACTCTGGATGTACCAGGCATCAGGAAGCAGTAAACAATTTAGCACCTGAGGCTGACCCTGCCAGGTATCATCAGAAGTAGGGCTAGGCAGTTGATGAAGACCAGGATCTTGGGTGATTGTCCATGCTATTCTCCATGCCAAACAGGTCAAAGTTCCTTGCCTGGCATCTCAGCCTTTATTGGCTACCACTTAACAGAGGCTTTACATAAGACTAACTCCTTTGGTACAGCCATTCTATCTGAAGCTTTGTACCCTTTGCCTTCCAAAATTCTATCGCTGTGAAACTGGACTGGCTGATGACCTAGATATAAAATCTAAGCCTATGAACTACGAACTGATAATACTTCTGCCCATCGCTTTGGATCTCCCTGTTTGGAAATTATTTGTAAGCAAACTGATGTGTTCTTGGAATTCTGTTGACGTGCTTGCAAGCACACACTGTCTTCTACTGCCTGTACTTGCTTTATCCAGAAGTAAAGCCTTAGCAACCTAACATCTGTGTTTGCCTATGGTTGGCCTGGAACAGGATAAGCATTTAAAGAAAGGCCACCTATTGCAATCCTATTGATTGCTGCTAATACTCACTCCAAAGATTGATCAGGGTTTCAGATCCATCAAAGAATCCGAAAGCTCCTGATCATTTGAAAACCATCAAGCATCCAGGGTGGAGTTATCTAATAGCTCCCATTTCCTTGCAGGGGACAGCAGCACCAGAAAACTCCAAAGTAATCAGAAAGTGGTCTGACCATAAGAGGGAATAGATTATAATGGTCTTAGCTCTTAGAACACTTTGCATTTTCCTGAAATAAAAACCAGATCAGTCTTGCGGCCTTTGATATATTTTGAGTGCTCAATAATCTGGGACATGTCCACATGTGGCCATTTTAATATAGGCCCAGAAGCCATCTAGGGTGAATAATAGATAGGAAGAAAGAAGCTAAAATAATTATAAAACATTAGACATGTTTTCATATGACAATTTTAAAATTTTCTCTCTTGGTTGCAGATCCATTAATATATTAAGAAATCAAGTTTAAGTAGGTCTTCTTATGCACACAAATTTGGAAGTAGAATATCTTGCATTCAATATAATTTACTTCTTGCTAAGGTCAGCAGCCTTTATTATTCCCTTGGTAAGTGGGCAGCTGCTGTCAAAAATAAAGTAACATAAAATAAAATAAAATGCTTCAAAATTGTAGCAATATGAAATGCTGGAAGTTTATAATATTTTTGTCAGTGTCACCTGAACTGTCTCAATATTCTTGACAAAAATAGTTAAATCTCATTAGATTGGGTTATTTTAGTTTTGCAGAACATTTTTATCTTACTTTGGCCTCCCAGGGCCATCTAGGGAGGTTTGCTCAAGGAATGTATAGAGTGAAGAATTTAGTCAAGAGTTATGTTGTAATTTAGTTTCTTAATATTTCTATACGTTTCTGTTTTTCATTTGGTGAAACTAGTATTCTAGATGAACAAATTGCAATGAAGTTAAATTTTGAATTAACCTAACATTATATAGTATTTGTTTGGCTTATGCAATAACCTGTAGCCTATCTAAACTGTAATTAAAATTTACCAAAATGTGTAAAGTGCAATGTAGTGGAGCAGGAGGATTTGTTACAATTGAAAATTGATTTATTGCTACAAAAGCAGGTTTTTTGCTAGAATATAAATCCTGCAAATTGTGACTTGACATTTTGAAGTTAGATGTACAGCATTTCTGATGCAGAATATTTTGGAAGATTGGTACTTTAAATGTATCCAGTCTATTTTGAATTTGGATGCTAAGTTTACAGTCCCCTATGGATATGGATTGTGTAGCTCATATTGTGTTTGAGTTTGGATTTCACTTAAATAGTACCCAAAAATATATTCACCAGAGATAATATTTGAAGCTGAGAGAGAATCTTGATGGTGGTGAAGTGCAGAATAATGTTCTAAACCTCAAGTTGATTTTTAAAGGAAGATAAAGTTGTATAACATTTCTCTTCTTTCTGAACTTCTAACACTTATTATAAAGTCCACATTTTTCCTACTTGACTGTACCTTTTAGAGTTACCTCCATTATATAATATGTTTCAATCAAGAATAGTATTTTCCTTTTAATGGTCACATATCTTTGTTAGCTTTGCTAGAGTTAGACACAATTGAACAGGGGAAACATTTACCTTTTTAAAAAAATCTTTGCAAGCTACCAAATATTCACAAAAGATGTGGATCCCAATCTTGGCAATTATGCCTACTTAATATTTTAGTTGTATCTAAAATTATTGTGAGACTTTTCATGTAGGACATAAACATTCTGTCTTTCTAAAATTTAAATTCTTTGTAGCATTTCCCAAACAAAGCAACCAAGATCAGCTGTCTGGGTCAGTTGCCTGCTAAGAAAGCTTGCTAAGATATTTCAATATTTAGTGCTAAGGCCTTGTAATTCAACTTGACTGGGTTTATTATTTCAACAGTCTCATTATACACTGCTCAAAAAAACAAAGGGAACACAAGCAGAAGACATCCGAGATCTGAATGAATGAAGTAGCCTTATTAAATACTTTGTTCGTTACATACAGTAGTTTTGTGTTCCCTTTAGTTGTTTGAGCAGTGTATAACTGCTGTTGTTTGGACAGGTGTAGACTTCAATGGATAGTTTGGACTGTAGAAAAACAATTGTGACCAGCCTGCCTTCCATTGAGGATCTGTATACTGTATGAATCAGAAAGAGAGCTGAGAAAATATCTACAGACTCATCACATCCTGAATATAAACTATTTCAACTTCTCCACTCAGGATGCCGGTATAGGGTATTGTGTCCCAAAACAACTGGACACAAAAATAGTTTCTTCCTCATGTCATCACTCTGTAAAACACATAACTCTCACAGCCTAAAGATATTTACTTATGCCTAAAGATATTTACTTATGTAGCAGGCTGTATTGCTATTATCCTTATCATCATCTAATCTTTTTCTTCCCATTCTAACACTTAACTATGAGGAACACTTAACTCCCCCAACACTATTTGTATTCATAATTCTGTGCAGAAATAAAAATCAAAATGAACGCTCAGTGATAAAAGTGAAAATTAGGACAGTTAAAAGCCCCAGTATCTTATCATAGTTGTAATTTAGATGTAAATCTGGAGATTTGTCATTTCTGAAAAACATCTTTACTAATTTATAATATTCTTGAAATATCTTAAAAATATGAATCTAACACTCTGCTAAATACACCTTAGTAACACAATTCTTGCAAAGAAGCTCATTGGGGTTTTTAGCCATCTATTTATGTCACTATTAATTGAAGAAAGATAATTTGAAATATTTACGTCTACAAGTAGAGAAATTATTCTTGGATAATTGTTCTAGCATATTTAAAATGATTTAAACACTAAGCAAATCCCCAATTTTTACAAATTTTCATAAATAAATTAGAACTATGGGAAATGTAGACAGATTAGAATACAGAAAATCTGTTTCTTCTTCATCCAAACCC